TTATGGTCAGCTGATGAACAGCTGATGAACAGTTGATGAACAGCTGATAAACAGTTTATGGTCAGCTGATGAACAGCTGATGAACAGTTGATGAACAGCTGATAAACAGTTTATGGTCAGCTGATGAACAGCTGATGAACAGCTGATGAACAGCTGATGAACAGCTGATGAACAGTTGATGAACAGTTTATGATCAGCTGATGAACAGTTGATGAACAGCTGATGAACAGTTTATGATCAGCTGATGAACAGCTGGTGAACAGTTTATGATCAGCTGGTGAACAGCTGATGAACAGTTGAACAGTTGATGAACAGCTGATAAACAGTTTATGGTCAGCTGATGAACAGCTGATGAACAGCTGATGAACAGTTGATGAACAGCTGATGAACAGCTGATGAACAGTTGATGAACAGTTGATGAACAGTTTATGATCAGCTGATGACCAGTTTATGATCAGCTGATGAACAGTTTATGACCAGCTGATGAACAGCTGATGAACAGTTTATGATCAGCTGATGAACAGTTGATGAACAGCTGATGAACAGTTGATGAACAGCTGATGAACAGTTGATGAACAGTTTATGATCAGCTGATGACCAGTTTATGATCAGCTGATGAACAGTTTATGACCAGCTGATGAACAGCTGATGAACAGTTTATGATCAGCTGATGAACAGTTGATGAACAGCTGATGAACAGCTAATGAACAGTTTAAGATCAGCTGATGAACAGTTGATGAACAGCTGATGAACAGCTAATGAACAGTTTAAGATCAGATGATGAACAGTTGATGAACAGCTGATGAACAGCCGATGAACAGTTGATGAACAGTCGATGAACAGTTCATGATCAGCTGATGAACAGCTGATGAACAGTTTATGATCAGCTGATGAACAGTTTATGATCAGCTGATGAACAGTTGATGAACAGCTGATGAACAGTTTATGATCAGCTGATGAACAGTTGATGAACAGCTGATGAACAGTTTATGATCAGCTGATGAAC